AGACAGGAAAAGAGGAGAACTCTGCACTGGGCCTGGTCAGGCTGCAGTCCTATTTCCTCCAATTCTCCATCCCACTAGGATCCTGGGCAGGCACCTGTGTGCCCAGTATGTAAGCCACCAGACCTGGAGCGTGAACCCTGGTTGGCCATGTGGGATCTAGTTTCCCCTACAAAGCTCTTAACTGCTATGCTGAGGGGCAGGCCCAAGGTAGCTCTGATACAGTTTTATAGCAGATACTTTTGTTAACTCTCCATGACCAGTAAAACTCTTCTTCTGAGCAAGTAGTAGTTATTTATCTTATAAATCATATTATTCCTATTTTTTTCCTTAGTTAGTAGAATATCAGACTTTCCTTTTCAAAATTTAATTATATGACAACTTGTGGTAGGTATTGTGTTTACTAGCTTTCCCTTTGGCATAGCTTGTACATACACTTTTTTCTATCTAGTGTCTCCTTTACTCTGAATTTTGTGTCAACTTACTTAAAATAATTTTATATATGTAAAAAATAACTCAAATGACTATGAGAATAAGGTGAAGAATAAATCAAACAAGCATGAAAGGCATTAATTGATTTTGGAAAACTAAACTGAACCTAATTTAAATATTTTCCCCCCAAATCAACCCTTGATCCAAATAATAATAATAATAATAAAAACAAACACATCACTTCAAATAAGTGTTAAATTTAATGAAAGTACAAAATAAAATTTCTTCAATCCCCAAATCCATTCTGACGAGTGAGTTCTTCTCAGGTAGGATGTTCAGTGCTTTCACTCATGAGCAGGCACATTCAGACCATCACCTGCCATTCACTTCCTGTTTCTGTTCCTAGAGCTTCCGTTCTAGCCTGTGAGGAGGACTCGCTCTTCCTGACGGTCATGAAAGCCCCGCTCTTGCAGCCAAGCCTGAGGTTAGCTCTATCCCCTTTCACTTTCTTTGCCCACACCCACTCATGTGCCAAGTCCTGATGCTTTTCTTTCACTGTAACTCACCTCTTTTATCTTCTTTCTGTTACTGCCTTAACTCTGATGACTTTTGCCCTGAAATATACAGGAACACTGAGAAATCATTGAATCAATTATTATGAATGATGGAGAGTTAAGAAAATGGGTATGGAGGTTATAGTTCAAATGATGTTTCCTATAAAGCTTTATCCTCTTAGTTACCAAGTAGGTAACTTTTAAAATTTAAGTTAGTTTAATTGAATTGCACATGTAAAGGCATGATTCCAGGACACTCAGAAAGCTTTTTAATTATTGTATTCCTTAGCTAGTTCCATTAACATAAGCTTTGAGGAAGTATTATGGTAAGTAGCTTGCTTTGTTGAGATTTCCACATTTTCTAAGTCTTGGGCAATTGATTTAATTATAAAAAGTGTCCTGCTAATTCTTGTAATCCAGCAAAATATTCCAGGCTTCATTCTTTTTTTTTTTTTTTTTTTTTGGGGGATTTTTTCTTAT